GCAGAGCAAAAAAAAATTATTAGAGGCCTGGAAGACAAGACTTATGAAGAAAGGCTGAAAGAGCTAGGGTGATTTAGTCTGGAAAAGAGAAGATGGAGGGGGGGATTTGATAAGTGTTCAAATACCTGAAGGACGATTACAGAGACAATGAGGTTGAGCTTTTCTCCGAGACTGTAGAAGACAAGACTAGGAGCAATCAGCATCAAACTGCAGCAGTGGAAATTTAGGTTGAAGATTAGAAGGAACTTCCTAACTATGAGGGTGGTCAAGCATGAAAAAGGCTACCTCGAGAAACTATGGAATCTCCATCCTTGGAAGTTTTCAAGAGCAGGTTAGAAAGACACTTGGCTGGGATGATTTAGTCAGGGGTGATCCTGCCTTGGCTGGCCTAGATGACCGTCTGAGGCACCATCCAGCCCTACTTTGAAAGAGTGCACATACAGATGCTTACCAGGATCCACTCCTATGGATCTCATTGCATGGGCATAGGTATATTAGGGAACATTTTGCCCTTCCATCTGGAACACCAGATAACAGCCAAGGCTGAGGCAAGATATTTGATCTGACAGGCCAACAATCTGCCATGGAAAATTATATGCTCATTCTGTAATTGTGTAAATGTGGACTAACTGTGCTAAACTGTCTACATTTACACCAGTGTAACTGAGAACAAAATGTGTTCCTAACAAAGTAATTCAAAATATTGCTCAGGACTCTTCCAGATTCTTCCAAAGAAGCTCTTTTCCTATTCCCTTTTGCAGGTATATTAAAAGCATGCTGCACATCTAAACCTAATGTTTGCCAGGGAAAACAACTGTAAATGACCACACTTTGTGAATTAGTGTGTGAGCAAAACACCAAAAAACAGGATGTTTACCAAAATGAACTTTTCTCATTTATTTTGTCATTTGTCGCTTAGACTGAATTATTTATGATAATACGCTACTGTTGTATCTGTAGTATATACTGTGAAAATAACGAAATCTAATTCACATAAGACCTCGGTCCATTAAATCTTAGCAGAGAGGTGAGGAGAGGCTGCCAATTTTTGCAGATTATAATAGTGTGCAGTTTAGCAGAGAATGGATTATGAGCTTCTACTGTAGTTAAGATACTCCCCACCCATTTGCATTAGTTGCTGATAATTATCTAACATGCATTTCTATGAAATTTTCTATGCTGGTTATCATCCCAAAACCGAATTGTTTTGAAAGTTTGAGATGATTCAGTTCAGCTATTTTAGAGTCATCCAACTATTAAAAATGACACTTTTTGCATATCATTTAATTAAAATGTCTGTACTTACAAAATAAAAAAGCTGACTAAAATAGTCAAACTGTGTTTATTCAAATATGAAGAAAACGATTTTGCTAGTTTTGAAGTTATGACTTTTCTATGTGGATCACTTGTGAATTTGCTTTAAGCCAAGTATAACATTTTCATTGCTTGCTTATTTCACAGAATTTCAGACCACTGGGCAAATGTAGATCTTTAGATCACCCTGCATCACAAATTCATTCTTCAGGCTTTAGAGCTAAGGGTGGCTCAGACTTGTCAGTGCAATTCCATTTTGAAAAGCATCTATAGCAAAATGATACATTCTTACTCAATATATCTTCCTTCTCCAGTCCTTTTCACTCGGTATAGTCTTTCACACCTGTGCAAAGCAGTTATACAGTTCCAGCAAGCCAGAATTCTCCCCTCATATTAGTGGTAGGGCCTACACACTCATTTTGAACTAGTATAAAATACTACATGAAGAAATGATCAGTGGTGAATAAGGAACTGTTTGTATGTTTACTGGTTAAAATAAGTTGTTAGTACATTTTACTTCTGTTAGTGGTGCTGGCTCTGCTGTGCTAAGCATTCTGCTTCTTCTTATATATCAAGAGAATTTTTGGGGCCAAATTCTGGCTTCAGTGATACTACCATAAACCTTCTTGTAAACAAAGGGACAGCAAAGGTGTTACTGGGCACAGAATTTCACTTGCAATCTATATTATTGATGATGATGATGATTGAAAGAATGTACCGAGTACAGTTTGAGTCTGCAGGACTGGCAATTAGAGAAAAACGTATCTTTTAATTGCGAACTGAGGAAATCTGATCTGGAGCCAATGAGACATAACAAACCTGGAACTCCAGGAAACTGTTTTAGTTGCTTTTCAGAGCAGAATCTTCAATGCCTCCACTGCCGAGCTGCCTTACACATTTTACCTCTAATGATGCTCTTAAGCACTTAAGGGTGCTGTAAGCACTAAAGCTTGAGTTAAAGGCATGCTTAAGGGCACCTGAAGCTTTAGGGTGCATTGACACTAGAGAAAAAAGGTATTGTTTTTGGAACCAACTTATCTTTAAGATGAGTTCTGTATACATAAAGGCACCTGACATTGCCAGCTGGCACTGCCAGCACACTGTGAGTGTACATTCTTGGAGCAAATGTTAACAGTACCTTTTTGTGCACTAGTCCCCTGAGCAGCAGTGCAACAGCGATGCAAATGGAATCCACAAGCTTTGCAAGCCAAGCAGGGCACTTGGGCCATGCTACTTCCATGTCTGAATCCCTTGGGGAGAAGCCAAAAGAGATTTATTCAGACAAAACAGTGCCTGATACTGCAGCACATATTTAGCCTCTGAGCCAAGAATGGGTTGCAGGATGGAACCCACAAGACAATTAATAAAAAAGAATTGCTGTAAACGTTCTAAGTTACCTTTTCTAGCCTCAGGCAACCATCGCCCAAATTTGTGAGTACTTATCAGCCATCTGCCTGCTTCTGCACCTGTGCAGAATGGGTGACAAGTATCCATCCAGCCAGACTTTACCTACTGCAGGGGCATAATCCCTGCTCCTCACAACACATGTGGTTACAGGGCAGGATGTGGAACATATCACATGACAAGGGTCTTCTTACATGAAGTAAGATTCTTTATTTGATGAAGAAAAACAATATTATTTCTAAAGCTGCTTTGTTACTCAGGTGCAGACTCTAACATTTTAGGTACCTAATTATCCAGCAAAATATCTAGGGGATTTTCCACAAGTGCTAAGGTACCTAAATCCTACTGATTTAAATGGGACCTCAGCCCTCCTGAAAATCCTACCAGATGCCAAACTATCTTTGGTGTTTAAATACCTTTAAAAATTTTCCCTTCCCTGTATTTCTGCCCCACTAAACAACTTCTGCACAGAACTTTTCCCAGGCCTTCTTGCCTGTCTTCCTACTACAAATTTAAAGAGACAGGAAACATCCTCCCAGATAGAAATTGAAACAAATTTTGGTTCCTTACACTATAAATCTAACTCAGTGTAACATGAACACGTGCAAATAGTATACTAGCAATGATGAACTTGCTATGCAGACATGCCCCGCTCCTGGCGCTGTGCCAGGAACCCTGAGATAAGCACCACAATGCACAGGTACAGTAACAACTGGGACCAGTCCAGCTTTTGGATATACTGCCTCTATTACTAAAAAAACCCAAAACAAACTGGTTAGAGTGAACACAGTGACTAACTGCAGGGACAAAATGGATCTGGAATTGTTTAGCTACATCATTTGCCCCTGAAACAGAATTTCTGTAGCACATGAGAAACTTCAGCATGTTTAAGGGCAGCCTTCTCTCTTTTATCTGCCTTTCATCTCTTTTATGGTTTCTTTAAAGACTGAAGTCAACGCAATGTTCAGGTTGAGAAATCATGCATACATAAGTTAGGGTAACTCCCTCTATGCAGCCACACTGCACACCTTATATAATTTAAAAGACATGTTAATATCACTCAGTTGTACAATAACGAAAACCCACAAAGTTTCTTTTTAAAGGGGTTTGCCTGTGGGGGTTTTTTAAACATTAGAAATTCAGGTCCTCTCACTTCTGGAATACTCTAGGCCTCTAGAAAATTGGAGGGATTATGACATCACAGTATCAGTGTAGTGAAACCTGATTAACTGAGATGGAAAGTGATTTCTTTATTCAGATTGTTTAAAACTGATTTTTTAAAATTAACATGGGTTTAAATCTCTCATTCAAACAGTTGAAAGCAAAGAAGTCTTTCTTGCAAATTCGTTTAAGGGCTGCATGAGATTCCAGTACACATCTCTGAGTAAGCATTACCGCAAAAGCAAGACCAGTCTTGACATTCTTGATATTTCCCAGGACAAAAGACACTTGTTCAAAAAACAAAAACTTGCAAAAGTTTTTAAGCATCATAATTGCACAAATCCCATCTTTTCTTATTTAGGTCACTTTTAAGGCTCATGTTTAACAAAGGACACAGAATAAAAGTACTGCATGAGTACAATATATATGCTTTAATACAACGAGAATTCTGATATTTTTATATATATATCTCAGATACAAACACACACACATTCAGTCATATATGCTGACTTTAGTGCCTAAAATATATTTTTACTATTTTTGGCTCCTGTTATCATGATAAAATCAAGACAACTATAGGGCAGTGAGTTGGATTCTATTCTGGCTCATGTGTCGTTAGCAGAACTGTTAGCTAAGTCTTAATTACAGTGTCTTTATAATAATATATGAACCCACCTTGACTTTCAAATTGTGAGGAGAATTTGCAGGGCTGGAAATGAGAAAATGTGTGCGTTTATTGTAAATTGAGCATGTTTCATGTCGGAATCAGAGAGAGACCACAAAATAGAGCTGCACCATCAGATCACTTATTTTTTAGTGGAATGATAAAAAAAAGTGTAGTTTTTGGAAGATCTTCACTTCAGCTGCTTTATTTTTTCAATTTTAACATTGTAGTAGCACAAGATCTTTTTTTTAATATACCACCCTTATGTTTTAAAGATAAAAGGACACTACTGTATTTCACTTATAGAATTTACAAACTTTGTCAGTTTCTAGAGATATTATAATCTCCACAGCTCTACTGTCATAGCAGTTATTGTTAACCCACCCATCGTTACCTACCCCTGCAAGTTCCATATTAGGTCACTGTTTTGCTTGCAGAGTTTACAAGCTCCTGTGGCTTCAGGACATCCTTGGTAAATGTGTGTTTAAACCACACACAATATGGAGTAAGCAGAACTTTTTAACCTTGACTTGCTTTTCAAATGTCACTGAAAGCAACATAAAGGTCCGGGCTTTGCCCTCAGTCACCTATGTGCAGTTCCCATTGATTTAATTTGGGGCTTCATCTACAAAACTGGAAAGAGGCTTGGGACCTTTGTCATGAACACACAATTTCAGGTGTTTCTAGACTTCTCCAAGCGTAAAATTGCTGACCTCAACTTATGAACGATCCTTTTTAATTCTTACATGACTCAAAAATATTTTGGACTGGCTTGGCTATGACTGATGCCTTAGGTCCAACCTGCTGCAGATCCTCTGCAAGGTCCTACACTCACCACAACGTTTACCCAGCCTTAGCGCAGAGCAAACAGGAATATAGAACTATCTCCATTAAGAAAATGACCCACTGCTGACTTTTCAGAAATGGGTCCTCCCCCATCCCTCCTCTCTCACCTACCTGGGACTAGAAATGTCTCAACTTCTAGGTTAGGCAGCCTAGTCTTAACCAGTCTTTCTGAAATTGTTTTATTTGTTAAATGGGACAAAATCATTCTTAGTGCATGCTAACGCATGGCCAGGGAGAAACCAGCGCTAGGAACTTTGGTCTGCAATGGGTGATTCTCCTAATCTTAAGGAGACCATGGAGATTCACTATGGGTACAAATTCAGCAATGGGCAGGAAACACATTTTCTTGTAGCTGTCAGGTTCCCTCGAGTACAGGCAGTCCTCGACTTCAGACGTTTCGAGTTACAACGAACGGCACTTAACCATGTTTATAAATTGACACCATTTCAACTTTCTGACGTTTTGACTGACACTTGGTTCGACGCCACACCAGCAAACAAGTTCGCTGCATGGCCCATCTCTCTGGAGAACATCTGTCCAAACTTCCTTGGCCACTTTCTTTAGGAAAGCAGACAAGACTCCAGGAAAACATCCAGCCAAGACTCCTGAGAAGACTCCAGCCAAGACCCCTTCACAAAGTCCAACCAAGAGCCCCTCAAAAAGTCCAGCAAAGTCACCTCAAACAAGTACTTCCCATCAATATGATTGCTATTTACAATATAAACACATTAATGTAGCCATATTACTTGTCTATAATTGATTGAGTACAAAATTCTGGGTTATTTTTGGTGAAAATAGGGTATGGGGTTTGGTTCAGGAACCAATCCCCTATTAATAACATTGTTCCTGTGGGAAAGTCGGTTCCCAGTTATGACATTTCAACTGAAGAGGCGGTTTTCAGGAGCCGATTGTGTCCTAAATCGGAGAACTGCCTGTATGGTTTTTTCTTTTTCAGATTTCAGAGAGCGGGAAGGGACCACAAGAGGTCATCTAGCGAGTCCAAGGCCTTGCCTGAGGCAGAGCGGTCCCTGCCCGGACCATCCTACCCGCACGCAGCTCCGCCCTCTCCCT